GAGACAGGTGGATCTCTGTGAGTTCCAGGCCAGGCTGGTCTACACAGTGAGTTCCAGGACAGCCAGAGCTGTTACAACAGAGAAACTCTGTCTTGAAAAACCATAAATAAACAGTGTGTGTGTGTGTGTGTGTGTGTGTGTGTGTGTGTGTGTGTGTGTGTGTGTGTAAGTATGGTTGGGGGTCTTGGGGCTTGGCATATATATTGAGGTTCAAAGGCAACTTGAAGGAGTCTTTCTTTTCACCATGCTGGTCCCAAGAATTAATCTCAGTTCCTCAGGCTTGGCAACAAGTGCCTTTACCCCTTGAGTCATCTCACTGCTCCTGAAGTGACATTTTTAATATGTTTAGCTATGTAAAATATCTTAATTTCACAAAAAATAATGATTTTGCCTTGACTTTACAGTTCTACCTCTCCCTCCCAAGTGCTGGGTTCTCATATATGGAAACCTACACCAAATCTCTTTTTAAAAGCCTGGTAAGCCAGGTGGTGGTGGCACACACCTTTAATCCCAGTACTCGGGAAGCAGAGGCTGGTCTACAGAGTGAGTTCCAGGACAGCCTTCAAAGCTACAGAGAAACCCTGTCTCAAAAAAACAAATAAATAAGGCTGGGCATTGGTGTCGAACGCCTTTAATCCCAGCACTCGGGAGGCAGAGGCAGGTGGATCTGAGTTTGAGACCAGCCTGGTCTACAAGAGCTAGTTCGAGGACAGGCTCCAAAGCCATAGAGAAACCCTGTCTCAGAAAAAAACAAAAAACAAAACAAACAAACAAAAAAGAGTAGGGGAAAATATTCCACTTCACTGCCTGTTGCTATTATGACTTGTTGTCTTCCAGATTGATGGAATATTACAATGAATAGAAATTAAAATCTAGGGGCTGGAGTGATGGCTCAGTAGTTAAGAACACTGACTGTTCTTCCTGAGGTCCAGAGTTCAATTCCCGGCAACCACATAGTGGCTCACAAGCACCTTAAATGAGATCTGGTACCTTCTGCTGGCGAGCAAGCAGAAGACTGTATACATAATAAATAAAATCTTAAAAAAAAAATTAAAATCTAATTGACCTTGTTCTATATAATGAAATGGAGATACAATTTGTTTACATATTAGAAGTAAATGCCTTAAGTCCTCCAGTGTTCATGATCCAGGGCCCAACAAGCTATATTATGTTAACTCTATAGCATGGAGCAGAAAAACCCCAAACATCTTAAGGACAGTAGTAATTTTCTTTATAAGGTAGGGCGCCATGGACTGTACAAGTGATCGGAGGCAGTACAGAAATTAATTTTTGTCATAAATTATGACCTTTGTTTTTTTTTTTTTTTTAAGATTTTATTTATTATGTGTACAGTGTTCTGCCTGCATGTATCCCTGGAGGCCAGAGGAGGGCACCAGATCTCATTACAGATGGTTGTGAGCCATCATGTGGGTTCTGGGAATTGAACTCAGGACCTCTGGAAGAGCAGACAGTGCTCTTAACCTCTGAGCCTCTCTCCAGCCCATTGTTTTTGTTTTTTTGAGACAAGAGTCTGCTGTATCCCAGCTGTCTTTGGAAGCCTGTGAATTTGAACTTGAGATCCTCCTGCCTGGGCTTCTGAGTGGCAGGATAACAGACACTGCCATCAGAAGGCGGTGATTTTTATTTCTGTTCTGGGTTTTCCTGATGTTATATTCTGCTTCTTTCCATTCCCACCAGCACATACAATCTACTCTTCTGTAATTCCTGTGGGGTTCCTGTTGGTTTCCATCTGTATTCCACCCATGCTGCTCTGGCTGCCTTGAGAGGTCACTTCTGCCTTTCCTGTGATAAAATGGTGTGGTGAGTAGACAGAGATATTATTTATCAAATCAGGTTTTTAAACTTTTCTAGAAAAGTCAAGGTGTTTATAACCAAAGAAAATGCAAAAGGCCAGGCACTGTTTATTATACACATACCTTAAATAAAGACAAAATATAATCTTGTGATAAATATCATGATTACTTTAGATGTTTTATTGTACCATGTCTTAATAGTCACATAGAGTAATTTAAGGGTATTCTTTCATTAAGGGTTATTCTGGAAGGTATGCTTCTGTAAAATAGTCTTGTACAAGATTACTTGGTTTACTGCTGTGTCTCATACCCTTCTCATATATAGGATTTGGCCCACGTGGTACCCAACCTCAAGGAAATGTATATTTATACCTGACCCACTAAGCCAATCAAATTTTCTACCCTAGGAATTTGAAATGAGGGCTGTATTGGTTACTTGTGTAGTGACTGGACAACACACCTGACAAAATTGACCTTAAGGAAGGGAGGGCTTATTGTGGCTCATAGTCTGAGGGTGCAGTCCATCATGGTGGGAAGCCATGGAGGAGGTGGCTGGTTTTATTGTGTCAGCAGTCAGGAAGCAGAGATTAATGCTAATCCTCAGGTTGCTTTCTCTCTCCAATGATCTAGTTTTATTTTTGTGTACGTTTGTGTTTTGCATGTATGTATATGTAAGGGTATAACTGGAGTTACAGGCAGTTGTGGGCTGCCATATGGTTGCCGGGAATTGAACCCAGGTCCTCTGGAAGAGAAGCTAATGCTCTTAACCATGCTGGGCCATCTCTCCAGCCCTTACTTTTTCATTTTTATTTTTAGTCCTGTACTCTTGCCCATGGATTGGTGTTATTCACATCTAGATTAAGCTAATCTAGATCGTTCCTCATAGAGGCTTGTCTCCTATGTCATCCCAGATCTGTCAGTTGATAATATTAAACGCAGCGACCTACAGTCATTTTTAGGTGATACTGGTGCTGAACTTGGAAAGTGAATGCACTACTCTTGGAGTAAGTATTTTCTGCACTTTACTCCAGATACAGAAAAAATCTTACCTGATGAAAAAGATTAATGAAATGAAGAATATAGTATTGACTATGATCTCATTTACTACTTTTCCCATAGATTCATTGGATACTTCATCATCTTCCTAGCTAATAAAACATTTGACTTAAGGTGTTTTATTACAAGAAACTGAAAGGGCTGGAGAAATGGCTCGGTAGTTAAAATTACAGCTCGATCATAGTACCCAGTTTGGATTCCAGCACCCAGCTTCCATTGTCTCCCAAGAGATGGGATGCCCAGCCTTTAGTGAATTTTTTTTACACATGGTAGTTATTAATTTGATTCTGGATTCATTTTCAGTTTTCCTGAGATAATTTTGTCTCTGAGAATGGGAAAGTTTTTGGTTTTAACTGAGAATTTGTTTTTCCAATAAAAAATACCATGATCCTTGGAGCCATTAAGGCAGGCTTTGATGGTACTTCTTGGAAATGATATTAATACTTTATATATTTTCTCTCTAGCTATCTCTTAAAAACAAAGGAAATAGTAAGTGCATCTGAGATGGATATTCACAATGTGCCTCTACCAGAAAAGATTGCAGAGGTAAACTTGGTTGTGTAGTTACTTAATATGCAAAACCTTTTTCTTTTTCTTTTTCTTTTTGGAGATAGGATTTTACTTTGTAACTTTGACTGGCCTCATATTAACTGTGTAGATCAGCCTGTTCTAGAACTGAGCTATATCCTTTTCCTTAATATAGGCAATTTTTAAGTGTATGTGTGTGTGTTGTGCATGGTTGTTTTGTTTTGTTTTTTTTAAAGATTTATTATTTTTAAACTGGTGACATTATAACCTGCAAACTGAGGGTTGAGAGAGTATAAGAAATCTTTAATCGGTCTCTTCCCAGCTGAAAGAGAAGATAATGCTAATGCACGCTCGATTAAATTCACTGATAAAGATTCTGAAGGACGTGACTCCTGACCATTCTAACCAAGAAAACTGAAGAAACAAGGTAGTACAGAAGTCCCTCCCAGCTGCAACAACAGGACCAATTGGTCATCTCATCCTTCCTTCCTTTCTTCCTTCCTACTTTCCTTCCTTCCTCCCTTCCTTCCTTTTTCTTTTTTAGATTTCTCTCTTTCTCTCTCTCTCTCTCTCTGTCTGTCTGTCTGTGACACGTGTTTGCTAATGCTCATGGAGGACAGAAGAGGACAGAAGAGGGGATGAGATTCACTGGAGCTGGAGTTGTAGGCCATTCTTATCTGCCTAACAGGTGTTGAGAACTAAATTCTGCAAAAACTGGAAGTTCTCTTAGCAGCTGATTCATCTCTCTAGTCCCTATTGGTCTTTTCTTTTTGTTGTTTTTGAGACATGGTCTCACTAGCTGTCCTGGAACTCACAGGAATCCTCCTGCCTCTGCTTCCACACCTGATTGGTCTTTTATCTTTTTAAATAGCACTAGAATGAGAGGATTGCAGATGTGGTGACATATGACTGTAACTCCTGCACATGGAATACAAGCACGAAGACCAGAACTTCAACACATCCTTGCCTACATTTTGAATTGAGGTCAACCTAAGCTTCCTGAGAACTTGTCCCAAAATCCCTACTTGACCCAAATAATTGTTGTAGAGTATGCCTTTGAGCCTATGCCTTGTTCCAGCCCACCAGCCCACTCTTACTTTGGGGAGTATTTTTTCTTCCTTAATAAATTATGACTCCATTACTTAAAAAAAAAAAAAAAAAGTTAACTTTGGCTGGGTGCTGGTGCTGCTGGTGCTGCTGCTATACACCTTTAATCCCAGCACTTAGGAGTCAGAGTCAGGTGGATCTCAAGAGTTTGAGGCCAGCCTGGTTTACAGCATGAATTCCACGACAGGCCTGTCTCAAACAAAAAAAGGAAGGGAGAAAGAAAGAAAGAAAGGAAGGAAGGAAGGAAGGAAGGAAGGCAGAAAGAAAGGAAGGAAGGAAGGAAGGAAGGAAGGCAGAAAGAAAGGAAGGAAGGAAGGAAGACCCTATTTATTTTATAGTATATTGAATCTATAATGTTCATCTCTGAAAACATCTTTTACTACTAATTACTAATTAGCATTCAGTAACCCTTGTGTCCAGTGATGTAAAGATACACAGTTGGCCATGAAAAAAAGATGTGATTAATAGTGATGGTCCTTGTACATACCGTTTATATACATACTGATAAATACTTGCCTGGTTGTCTTTTGTTTGTTTGGTTTGGTTTTTTGTTTGTTGGTTTTGCAACAGGGTTTCTCCATGTAGCCCTGGCTGAACTGGAACTCCGCTCTGTAGACCAGGCTGGCCTTGAACTCACACAGATCCACGTGCCTCTGCCTCCCAAGTGCTGAAAGGTCTCTCTATGTAGCTTTTGGTGTCCTGGAACTTGCTAAGTTGACCAGGGTAACCTTGAATTTATAGACATTCACCTGCTCCCATTTTCCTGAGTGATAGAATTATAGGTGCAAGTTACCATGCCTAGCTCTTAGAAATTATTTTTGCTTATATAAAATAGATATGTATGAAGGGCGGTGATGGTGCACTCCTTTTACCTCAGCACTTGGGAGGCAGAGGCAAGCAGATCTCAGAGTTCGAGGCCAGTCTAGAGGGAGTTCCTTAACAGTCTGGACTACATAGAGAAACCTTGTCTCAAAAGCCAAAATAAACAAAAGATATGTCAGATCCCCTAGAACTAGAGTTGAAGTCAGTTATGGGTGCTGGAAACTGAACCTCAGTTCTCCTCAGTAGCAGTAAATGCTGTTAACTGCTGAGCATCTCTGCAGCCCCACAGAATGTGCCCTAATAAATTAATACATTGAAATAATTTTTGAGACAAGATCTTACTCTGAAGCCTATACTGACCTCCAAAGTGGCAATTCTGCCTCGTCCTCCTGAGTGCCTAGTGAGCTTCAATGCTCAACTGTCAATTTTCAAAACACATGTAAATGTATTTACCTTAACATTAACGCATTTCCTTTATCAAAGCTTAAAAAACTGTTATGTCATTGTGTGTAGGTTGCTGGGGCCTGACACATGGTAGGTGAAAGCTCTACCACTTACCTACATTTCCTTTTATTTTTTATTTTATGTGCATTTGTCTGCATGCATGACTGTGTGAGGGTGTCAGATCTTGGAGTTACAGCCAATTGTGGGCTGCCATGTAGATGCTGGGAACTGAACCCTGGTCCTGTGGAAGAGCAGTCAGTGCTCTTAACCTCGGAACCTTGTCTCCAGCCCCCCTACATTTCTAATTTAACAACTATTTTTAATTTCTGGATTTGCCATTTTGGATGAGACTTTCTATAGAAAATTAAGTGCTCGAGCCTGACTCAGATTAAGCTGGGAAGCATGTGTCCAGGAAGTGTATTTTTCCCATAAAATATATGTTCACTGATGAAAAATGGAGGTCAGAGGACAGCCAGCAGGAGGCAACCAGTTCTGTCCTGCTTTGTGAGTCCTAAGGATACAAATCAGGTCCTCTGGCTGGTAGCTCAGCTCCTTTACCTGGTCAGCTAGCTTGCTGCCTCTCCCTTCTTTCTTTCTTTTTTATTTGTTTTGTTTTTCCTTCTTTATTTCTAAATTTGGTTTTTCTTTACTTTTAAAAGAAACTATATGGTGGCTCACAACCATCTGTAATGAGATATTGTGCCCTCTTCTGGTCTGCAGGTATACATGCAGGCAGAACATTGAATACATAATAAATCTTTTCTTTAAAAAATTACATTTGTGTGGAGGCACATGTTTGCTATGGTTCACATGTGGCATCAGAGGCTTAGTGACAAATGCCTCTACTGCTGAGCCATCTCACTCTCCATTTTTGAGAGGCACAACATAACATGCTGGTAAGCAGACAGAAATAAACCTTTTAGATTCAGACTGAGTTCTACTTATTAGTAGTAGTCATGAACTTGAGTTAATTAAACAGTAACTATATCTATGGTGAGGATTAAATGAATTAATACTGGAACAAATGGTTACCCCCATGGAAGAAAAAAGAAATTAAATGCTGTCCTATGAAAATCAATCCAGGTAGTGTAAAGATCTACATGTTACACACGAGAATAGACGGCCTATAAGAACCCTGAAGAAAGTCTTCATTATCTCACAGTAGAAGAGAGTTTCTCAAGAAAAGCATTAATTGTTTGAAGATGACAGTACTTTAAGATACAGAATTTCAAATAAGAGTAAAAAAACTGAGCCATAGCAGAAAATGTCACACATAAACAAAAGTCCAAAATACAGAAGTTATAGACCATCTGCTATACATAAAAAAAAAAAAAAACATTTAAAATCAGGCAAAATATCTGCAAGCATTTTAGAGAAGGCATTGGGCGAGGGATATGACTCAGGTAGAGTACTTGCAATGCACACTACAGAAAACAGTCTAAGGCTTGAGATGTGGTGCCTAACTTCACTACTAACAACCAAAAAATAATACCAAATTAGTGAAAATCAAAACACTGATGTAAAAATGAGGAGAAAGAATCTCTGTAAACTACTTGTACAAGAAACACTTTGGTACAACTGGAGGCTGGTTTGGCATTACTTACAGAAACTAAAGACATAATGGCTACTATAGAGCAGCAACTTAATCCCTAGGCACCTGCACTAAAAAGCATATAGCAGATATGCTCAAAAGGCTCATAATTGAGCTGGGCGTTGGTGGCACACACCTTTAGTCCCAGCACTCCGGAGGCAGAGGCAGGTTGATCTCTGTGAGTTCAAAGTCAGCCTGGTCTACAGAGTGAGTTCCAGGACAGGCTCCACAGCAATACAGAGAAACTCTGTCTTGAGGGGAAAAAAAAAAAAAAAAAAGGTTCATAGTCACATTATTTATAACAGGGATTGGGGATTTAGCTAAGTGGTGGTGCTTGCCTAGCAAGAGTGAAGAAGGCCCTGGGTTCAGTCCTCAGCTTCAGGTGGGAGACAAAACAACAAAAAACACCACCAATAACAACAAAACAAGGTAATTGGCACACATTATTTGTAACAGACAAAACTCCAAGTCATGTTGCTCCAAGTGTAGTCTATGACTGGAGGAACACCATGATGTCTGTAATGTGGACAGGCACAGCAGAGCTCTCACTAGTGAAGTCTATTATTCTATTTCTTGTGTTCCTTCTGTGGGTTTTTGTTAAACTAATCAATGTTTTGTGTCATTTTTTTATACCTAACTTGAAAGAAAATAAACTGTAAGCACTCAAGTAGAAGATCTAATAATGTTCTTAGCATATAGTAAGTGCTCAATAAAATCCAGCTATTGCCACAGATGTCGTGGTACATACTTACATGTTTGAGGCTGAGGCAGAAGGCAAGCCTGGACTGGAGTAAGAACTGTTTCTTGTTAGCTTCAGGAGCATTGGGTCTTATATTTCAGTCTCTTAATTGTGTCATGATATTATGTCAACTGATTGGCCCTGTAGTATCTGCATTTGTCCACATACACTTAAAAATGTTCCCCACACTGTCACAGAAGGGATAGGGTTTATAAGGGCCCTTCATTTCCTGAGGATTTGTATAATTGGTGGTTGATGAGGCAGAGACATTTTCTTCAGTGGTGTAGACACTGGTTAGGTGCCCACACTCTTATAAGTAACCCTAATGAAACTCATTGGGTTATACTCCCCACCAAAAGACATGAAAGCAGAAGAAAGAGGAGCTATGGGAAAAAAGGAACTGTTTGGGAGGGGGTAAGGGGAAGAGGATTGAATGAGATCCAAATACACTGTGTGTGTACGAAAATGCTATAAAACCATTGTATATGCTAATAAAAATTTAAAGACAAATAACTTGCAGGATATTGATCACATTGTAAATCCTGAGACTGTGTTATTTACTGAAGAAAACCTGTTTCTAGTTTGGTGTAGCTCAGCCCTAGCACACACCTTTAATCCAAAAGCTTTCTGCATGAATGCTGTAAATAGGATTAAATCAAACCAACCATACATCAAGAGGAGGAACAAGTAACCAGTTGACAGAAAGTAAATATAGGGTTATTAAGGAGAAGACAGGGGCTGGAGAGATGGCTCAGAGGTTAAGAGCACCGACTGCTCTTTCAGAGGTCCTGAGTTCAATTCCCAGCAACCACATGGTGGCTCACAACCATCCGTTATGAGATCTGGTGCCCTCTTCTGGTGTGCAGATATACATGGAAGCAGAATGTTGTATACTAAATAAAACCTTACAAAAAAGAAAAAAGAAAAAGACAGAGTAAGAGGGAGTCAGGAGGACAGATAGACACACAGGAAGTAGAAGGGAGGAGGGACATTGAGTTTGAGGAGAGTTACTTGAGACATCACAGGAGATAGCTGGAGGTCACCACAGCATCTGGTTCCCCAGTGTTTATTGGTAAAATCAAACGAATGCTTGAGATTTTGTTAAAAACAATAACACTGGTTTCAAAGACAATGAAGTGATAGAATAACTTCTAAATAAATAGATGTGGGGCTCTGAAAAAAAAATCTTTTAAAGTATGCTTTGTTTATAAAGGAGTGCTTGGGCACATGGGCACACTTTAGTCCCAGCACTAGGGAGGCAGAGGCTGGTGGATCTGAGTCCAAAACCTGCCTATTCTACACAGGGGGTTCCAGGACAGCCAGGACTACACAGAGAAACCGTCTTACCACCCCGCCCCAAAGTGCTTGGACATCTTTTATAATTTCACTTGACCCTTTAAAGATTTTTAAGACCCACCTCCTCTTACACATTCCATAAGATACTTGTCATAGGTATGGATGCCAGTATCTGTAACATAGATATTCTGTGGCATTTACCAGTAAATGCTGCTCCTTTCAGCAGTCAGGTAAAAAAGCCAGTAGCTTGTTAGTTTTTATTTGACAACAGCCAATCTTGAAGCTTGTAACACTTTTCATTACCTGAGGGTAGGGGGACCTTTTCCTTTTACTTAGTCATAGGAATCTTATTTTTTTTACCTGGAGTCTCAGGTATCCCAGGCTGGCCTCACTCAGACCAGTTCCATAGTCAGACACTGATAATTCTGCCTCCACCTCCCAAGAGCTAGGATTACAAACACACACCATTATGTTGTTTGGAATCGTCTTACATTTATTCTGTGTGCATGTGTGGAGGTCAGATGCTAACCTGTGGGAGTCATTTCTTTCCTACAGCAGGGTCCTGAAGATCAAAGGAAGGTCAGGGTTAGCAGCAAATGCCTATATCTGCTGAGCTCTTATGGCCTAATAATCTTTTTCTTTTTTCTTTTTTTAAAGCTAGTGTTTGCTGGGTGATAACAGCACATGCCTTTAATCCCAGCACTTGGGAGGTAGAGGCAGGCGGATATCTGTGAGCTCAAAGTCAGTCTGGTGTACAGTTCCAGGACAGCCAAAACCACAGAGAAACCCTGTCTCAAAAAAAAAAAAAAAAAAAAAAAAAAAAAACCGAGGCTAGTGGTTTATTGTTGTTTTTTTTTTTTTTTTAGTTTTTTCAAGACAGGGTTTCTCTGTGTAACTTTTGGAGCCTGTCCTGGAACTAGCTCTTGGAGACCAGGCTGGTCTCAAATTCTCAAGAGATTCACCTGCCTCTGCTTCCCAAGTGCTGGGATTAAAGGCGTGTGCCATCAACACTCAGCTGAAAGGGCTAGTGTTAAACCTTGTTAAGTAACCAAACCAGTGCATCTTAAAAATAACTTGCTTTTTGGCCTCAGCATCATCTTCCTAGTACAAATTCCTGTACCACGAACAAGGAGTAAAGGGAGAAGCAGCAAACTCTCATACTGTTGGGTAGAAAGAGGTCCAAACAAAAGAATCACCCATAGCCTGCAGGAGTAGAAATAAGGGTACTGGGGGACAGTGGTTGGTATACTGCTCTCAAAGATCAACCCTGAGAAAGTCTTGCTTCAAACCAGTCACTGGTAGCCCTCTATCTTACACCTGTGAGATCTTAGCCCAGCTCTGTTCTTACAGCCAGGGTTAACACAAGTACGTTTTCTTTTGGGTCTTACCTGAAGAATAAAACCAACTTAGACTCTATTTCTCATGGCAAGAACTTAGAGGAATGAATTGTTTTTAATCATTATTTTGTTTAGAATCTTAACAGAAACTAAGGATTGTAACAGATCCTTCTTTGGACCTCCAGCTCCCAAATAATGACCTGGAGATGTCTTACTAAGTATGAAAGCTTAGGCTTGTTCCCAACCAGCTCTTATAACTTAGTACTTTTATATAAATCGACGTTCTGCCACGTGGTCTGTTACCTCTCTTCAGTACTTTATGTCCTATTTCTGTTGCATCTGGCTGTTGAATCTCGCCTGATTCTTCCCTGGAGTTTCTCTCTCCCTATGAAGGCCCCCTAGCTATTGGCTATTTGGATCTTTATTAAACCACTCAGAAGGTGCCTCAGCAGAGACACATCTTCACAGTGTACAAACGATTATCCCACAACAAAGGATGTATTTGGACGAAGCATAAAAAGGAAATAAATTGTTATGTTCCTTCTCTTCAGATGTTTGTTACCACTGGGTGACCAGAAACCACCACTAATAAGGCATTAAGAAACCCAGAAAAAAGAAAAAAAAAAAACAAGTGATGATACACACTTGTAATCCTGCACTCAGAAGGCAAAGGCAGGGGATCTCTGTGAGTTCAAGGCCAGCCAAGGTGACCTTGTCTCAACAACCGCTCCCTACCCCCAATGAGAAACAATAACAGAAAGACAGTTAACACCCACTTCAACAAGGGCCTGTGGAAAGGCTTCCTATTGTAACTTACATTATATGGAATTGCCATTTCAAAGTAACAGCACACAATGAAATGTCAGTGCATTCTCAGCTCATGCTTTATTGCTAAAACATATACATACAGGTGCAGTTTCAAACTCTCACAATAGTTCCTTTTCCAAAGAGTCAAATTTCTTCAAAACTCCCAAAGATGCATAGATTAGGAAGCTGCCTTTTGTAGTGCTTCAAACATTCAGTGCAGCTCTTGTAACATAACCTCATACACCGACGGTTTGATGCAAGGTACATGGAAGAGCAAGCAAACAGCAACACCTGTGCTTGAAGGCAAGCCAGCCACACCACTCTCAGGTAGATTACTTGGATATTCTTAACCCTTCTCATTATAGGGATAGGTGGGTGTAAGGTTAATGCCCAGACAGAAATGTTTAAAGACTGGTAACACGATGACAGAACACCTGTCTGATCCCAGGGCCTAAGTGCTCTCTAAGAGCTGTGTCCCAAGCAGAAAAACAAAAACACAAACTCACACAAACTCAAACACAGCACACCATTACCAAAGGTGTCAAAATGTTTTGAAAATCTTCAGTAATCATAATTATATTCTGACTTTAAAGGTATTTAAAGTCTGAGCTCTACCAAATATACACTTAATTTTCATGTATAATCTGTTTTAACTGACTTTAGTAGACTATCAGAGTTAGAGGACTAAGTGTTTGTTAGAGGAAAGAACTTAACCATTCATCTTTATTGGCTGGCAGAATATCAGGAAGTGGCAAAGAACATTTCTATTTGGGACAAACCACACACCCCAATTCCTGTACTTCAGTGGGAAGCAAACACCACACTGACAACTATGAATTCAGTTCTCAAAGATGGAAGTTACCATTCTAGGTCACATCCACAGCAAAGCACCACAACAAAAGTTAAATTTCGCCAGGCAATGGTGGGGCATGCCGTTAGTCCCAGCACTCAGGAGGCAGAGGCAGGCGGATCTCCTGAGTTCGAGATCAGCTTGGTCTACAAGAGCTAGTTCCAGGACAGCCTCCAAAGCCACAGAGAAACCCTGCCTCAAACCACCACCCCCCAAAAAGTTAAATTTCAAACTATTTTTCCATCATATGACATGTAAATTGAATTAAACCCAGTGAAAGTTTTATTTGAACTGAATTCTATTTAGGTCTTTCATACATTATAAATACTTCTCATTAATTGCCAAAACTATTTGTTATTTGATCATTTCCAAGTCAAGAAATCTAAGAAATTCTTATGCTGCCAAATATGGCTATTTTTGGTAGTGCTGGCAACTGAACCTATTTTCTCAGGTGGCTCTGCCACTGTATTACACTTCTGCTCCTTTCACCAATGTTTGTTCACCCAAATAAATGTTTTGTTTTTTGGAAGAAGACAAACTTTTCCTGTTCATCAGGAATCAAAAGTTTTAGGCAAGATCCATACTTTAGACCAACTCATTTAAAGTAAAACTCTAGCTCAACTACTGTAAATACAACAGCAATGGCAGAACTTCTTCGACTCTGCAGAGACTCTTAGTGCTGGGCTACTTACAGATAGTATCAGCACCTACGGAAGTAAGTGCACACTGATGCTACACACCTCCAAGATACTCATGTGTTTTCTGTGAAGGAGTCTAGCTGTGGCACACAGGCTGGCTTCTGTCTGTTCAGAGACTGCAGAGCATGCATCCGGCTTAATCTATTTTAAGAAACCCCAAACTTACTCTACATAAAACTAATGAAACAAACCTCACAGCTAGTTGTTTAGAAAACTGAACACTTATTTCTGAATTAAGATGACTGACCCTATATAGGTTATTTCTCAATTCTGAAACCCTGCACCGTCCAGATTATAGCAGCTTATTCAACATGCTTAGTTTGTCTTTTATTTGCAAACATGCTTGGGAATAAATAGAGCTAGGAAACAGAGTGAGCACTGCTTGCTGTATTCCTAACAGTATGAATGTCTTGTGGTTGCCCCTTGTTTATCTTGTACTTCCCATTTTTCAGTGGAAGTAAGACAATCTTTAATTAGAAAATAAAAATAATTCAAACAATAAAATCAAGCTATTGGTTTAAGTATCTATTGCTTCATTATTAATAAATGCATATAGAAAATTACTAGTAACTACCTAATAATGAGAAATTTCAACCATGCATTAGAATTTCAGCATTCTATAATCAGTTATGGGCCTGCTAGTATTGCTTACACTTTCAACCAGGCCTGGTTTTAATAAACATGCAAACCCTTTGATTCAGAACTGTGGGAAAAGCAATGATACATGCAAAACTTCAGCTGAGTATGTCAGTCAAATACCTTAGAGATGCATTCTGGTACACTGTATCTACTACAACGCTGCTTCAAAACAGAAACAAGTCATATACAAAAAGGTTAAACTTAAGACTTCTATTTAGCATTATAAAGGGCATTTAGTACAACTGGACTCACATGCTATGGATTCTTTTATGTATGGATTAATCTGTTCAACTAATGATTTGGGTGTTTACTCAAGCTGATAAGCACAACACTATTTTATTTTTTTGTATTGGTAACTGCAGTAAAATTCTTCAATTCTCAAAAAAAGAAAGAGAAAGAAAGAAAGAAAGAAAGAAAGAAAGAAAGAAAGACTTCTATTTAATTCTACTAAAAGACTTAGCTAGAAATCCTGGCCCTTTGAGGGTAAAAAATGTTTAAAGCCCTGGAAAAAGGAACTGAGGTGACTGTCTTTTTGGAGCAGTAAGTTTTCTTGGCCACTTATTGAGAGCTGTATGGGTGGTGAGGATACTTAGGCAGAATGGGTTCTTTTCTGATTCACATTAATGAACAGCTCCCTGGGGAAAGTTAAGGAGCAGAGCTACAACAATGTAAACTCAAGCAGTAATGCCCTGAAATTTAGCATAGCCCTCTGCATTTTAAAACTCTCGGCCAAGGGGCTTTTCCAAAATGGTATAATTAATAGCCAAGCAATGTTCTAAATAAACTAGAGACAATTTGCTTGCACCTACAGCACCATGAGAATGTAAACTCCTGAAGGTGGGGGGGGTTCCTCTTCATATTTTGCATATCACAGGTACACAAAGAGTAAACAAGAGACTACAGGAAGATTGAATACTAATTAACCACATACTTTGAGACCACAAAATCTTGTAGCATAGTTTTACACTTAGAACTATAAACATGGCTGTTAAGGGTAATCTCTGATGTAACTGAATTAGCCATGTGTCCATGATCATACAGATGTCTGAATATTGCTTGGTTGACTCAAAACCTAACATGGACATCACAGGACATTTAAAGAGAAACTACACTCAGTATAGCCTTTTCCCTACTCTTAGGCTTGTAATAAAATAACTCATTAGAGTCTGAGATCTACAAAACTACTCTTAATTATTTTTCCCCTGGGAAAACAAAGGAACACAGACCCAGATCTTTTCAGATGTTCAAGTGGCCACAATGGACATGAGGTAAAGGAATCGAGGAGTCACCCCAGTTCCACTCTTAGATTCTGATGTGAGCTGCGTGACTCCTCAGATCAAGAAAGGGATGAGTTTGCTGCGTTCTCCTTGTTAAAAAAATATGCAGTCACACACAGGCCATAAGCTTCATCACATACATATATCAGACACATACATAACCCCCAGGCTCCATACTGCCCAGTCATTTTGTTTATCTTTCATCCCTAACTTCCTTGATCTAAGTACAAGGAAAAGCCAGCAAGTTCTTGAGGCTACCTTCCCCACCCTCCAGACACACCAATCACACACAAAAACAAATTTTTCTTTTTGAAAAAGTAGCCAGGAAGCCAATGAACAAAGGTTACAGAGTATACCTCATTCTACACAATAAATGACTAATAATAAGAACAATTTAAGCAAGACCCCTACTTGTTGGCTTCACTGGGAATATAGAAGTACATTTGTTTCCAGGTTAAGCACTAGAAAGATTTTAACTGCTGTAAACTCTGGGGAAACAAAATAGTCTTTAACACATATATGAAAGTTGTTGTTTTTCACACGGCACATTCATATACATTCATAGTTTAAATGCTTTTTAACCTATGATGTATTTTCCTTTTGTGGACTCTATAAGACTGCAGAAGCCCACAAATTCAAATAGTAATCACTCAACCATACAGCTTTGTGAACACTATTTGCTATACATGCAAAACTGTTATTGCTACTAAATTCCACCTCTTTAACATTTTTAGTTCATTTATGGCTTTTTTTTTGCAATAGGAAATATCCTTTCCTATATACTGTGCTACTTTATATGCATTACTTTTTCAAGTTTTTCTCCCTTTGTTTCTTAAATTTAAATGCTTTTCAGAAGCAGTTTCACCCAGGTGATATTCTACAGGGATCTATTCCTGGGTCCCTGGATAGCTAATACTACTCATACCTAGTTTGTGTGGGAAAAAGTCACATTAAAAACAATTTTAGATTTTCTATCACACTAATGTAATTCGTAGGTCCTAGACTCTCTTTTCTTTTGGTTTTCTGAGACAGGATCCCATGTAGCTCAGATTGACCTCCAACTCACTATGTAACAAAGGATAACCTTGAACTCCTGATCCTCCTGCCTCAGCTTTTCAAATTCTGGGTTTACAGGCATGGACAACCACACCTGGCAGGACTCTAATTCTAAAATTAAAACAAAACAAACAAAAACCCAAGACCCCACAACACTCCAGAAAACTGTTCCGTCCAAGTTTCCTAGGCAACTTTTAGAGGTAGGAATTTCATTTTACAGAAAACTTTCTTTTTTCAAAACAAAGCAACTACTTTATTTCCATAAGGAAAGTAGGAAAAAAAGCCTAGAATACAAGAGACTCCAGACTGCCCACAAGGTTCTGCAATTAGCGCATGTGATGCAAACAGGAAAGAAAATGGCCAGAGATTAAATGTGCTAAAGCAATTAGCATAGCATCTCAGACATGCAAAATAGAAAATAATTCTCTGGACACAAAATAGGGAAAATGAACCCAAGACATACAATACAAATATGAGCAAGCTAGCTTCAAACTAAGAGAGCAAGACATAAGCATGAAATGAGGCCTTGCTCTGAGGGCTGAAAAGCTACAAAGGCAGCTATGTGTAGCTACCTTGTGAAAGGCTAACATTTCCCCAAGCACAATGTTTCTCAATGTGAACCCACATTTCTGTTCAGACATTAGTTGTTTTGGCCTTTATGTCCTATCCCCAGGGAGGATATCACAGATTCATACACAAAAAGTAAAGGTCTAGAATTTTCCACTCTTTTTACACTACTAGTTATTATCACTATTTCATCCTGAAGTTTAAAATTATGCTAAATTCATGCACTAACCCCTAACATGGCACTACAATATGCTACCAAGTACTACTGCTTACAAAACTATACACATCTCAAAATGGAAGACATTGGTGATTTTGTTGTTCTTAAACAACTTGTAACACTTGTCCACAAGTATTAAAATATACATATATATATATATATTTATATTGCACATATCCCGTTTTTGTTTAGTAACTTCAAAGGAAAAACTGCCAGCTTCCATGGAGAAGGGAGGAGGCGCGGCTACATGTGGAAGCACAGCCCTAAAATGGTAGTTTTTGCTGCTATTAAGAAAACCCAAGCAAGACTATAAAATGAAAATGTACTGCACACCAGGCAACTACAGCTGGAACAACCCAGGCTATGAAATGCCATCTGGTGCTAACAATGCAGGGCACAGGAGCATCTTTGACAAAGGGAACTCAACTTAAACTTGAAGGTTTAAGCTACAAATGTGAAGCATTTGGAGCAAAAGGTGACACCTCCTTGGTGGTGACAGCCCTGCCACAGGGCCTTAGCCCATAAAGTTGCCCAAGGTAAGGTGCAGGAACTGTCACCAGCTGGCTTCCATTGTCTTCTAAATGAAAATATAAGTGGCTGGGGGACTTAAAGAGGAAATTTGGGTTATATTTTTGTTGCATTTTGAGACAGGTCTGTCAATCAGGCTGGCTTTGATCTTGTGGCCAATACTCCTGCCTCAGACTCCAAAATGCAGTGGTTACAGGTGTGGGGTAACAAGTCCAGCAATTTAGGTTAAATTTAAGCCTTATTTCTCTAGTGTTGTATCATTATTTGCTCTCATTAAAAGGTTTTTTTATAATAAGTATTTAAGAAAAAAAAACTTTCAGTATAAATTCAAATTTGTTGCCCAATCTGACTAAATTATTAGAATATTCAAATTTCCCAATTTTGATCCTTTCTATGACTCAAATTCACAGCACTGGGAAATGGTTCCAGAAATCAGCTCCAAGAGCACCTGTTCCTTCTCTACTGGCAACCATTGCAACCATTTCAACAGTTCCCTCCCTTGTAAAAGCCTGGCATCACATAAAATAGACTTCTCTTGATTTGGAAGCAAAGAGAGGTTTTCACAATGGTTCCTTATAACTGTTAATTAAAGGAAAAAAACAAACATGCATTATTTCTTGGAACTAGTTTTGAGGTCTCCCTACCCCCACCCTGAATTTCATTTAAATCTACAGCGACTGGCAATAGGATCCACACTTCTTACTAGACCTGCTTTTCTTATTTGAAGTTTTGTTCAGATCCTGAATTTCTTCCAAGAGTAGATAGAGTTGATTGACCACAGCACTAGGAACATTGCTTCTGAGGTCCATTCTCTGGTAAGGAAGTTCAATTCAAACTGGGAAAATTTACCTGAGTCCCAGAATTTCAGCCTTACATTACATTATCACCTAGAAAAATAAATGTCCAAGTACCCATCTTGGGATAAAGGAAGTTATTTATGCTTTTATAAAAAATGCAAGTACATAATGTAAAAATGCTGAAAAGTCAGATGATGCTACATAAGACATCACCGCTTCTTTTTCTTAGAAGGATTTATATGCGGAGTTATTTTTTTCCTTTACTCCTCTAGGTCCAAAGTTGTTGAAGGCAAGTTACAATATAGGGTCCATCACATAACACATATTCTACTTTCTTTCCAGCCACAGCTGCACAGAAAACCAAAGTCTCATGTGCTACATTCGATTCCACAAAAAAAAAAAAAAAAAAAAAAAATCTTGAAAAACAAGAGTGGTGTTACTGGGTTCATTTTTTTGTTTGTTTGTTTGTTTGTTTTGTTTTCATTTTTCTGCTGTTTTTGAGATAGCTTTACCATGTGGCTCAAGCTGAACCTGAACTTCTGATCTTCACTGGCAGTTTGAGGCAAGCATCAGCCCAGCCTGTTCTCTTCCCACTTTGAACTAGCTGCAGGCTAGCTGGTCCTTCCTGAGGAGGATGAAAAAGCAAAGCAAAAGAGACAAAACTCAAACACTCAAGACCATCAAACTGTCCAAAGCCCTCCCATGAAACAATAGCTTTCATCTCCAAGAGGAAAATCGTATTTAAAAACAAAAACATGGAATTATACATATAAAAATGTGACTCTGCACACAAACTGCAATGGCTTCACTTCCATGTGAAATCAACCCTGATATCTTTCTTGTCTTTTGCTTTTGTCATACCGGTGATTTGTTTTTGCCCAGGAATCTGTCAGATGGTGAGCCAGGATTTAGATAACGTTTCTTTCACCTCAAATTATAATGGATATTTGGAATTTACCACTGCAGTCTCAAGTGTGCTTATAATAGTGTTAAAACTGGCAGAATTAAAAAACAAAACAAAAACCTGAAGTCATCCACACATGGTATTTGTATAGTTTGTTGTTTGGAGCTTTTAAAGGAAGAATTCACAATGCACAATCTAAGCACCTGTTTCAAATTAAACATCTTCCTTCCAGTTGCAAACAGTGTCTTTCTAATGAAGCAAACTGCAGCAGAAGACCCTTGCCAGTTGGTTTTTTCTTCCTGAAGTCAGCAGACAGCTGCATTCTCCGGCTTCTCTGTGCCGAGTCTGAGGTGGAATAAAGGAAAGCAGCCTCTCCATTCCAAACCATGGAGGCCCCTGTAGAAAGCCATCTGAATTTCACCAAGGAAAGTGGCTGTATGAAAGAACCAGGATGCCCCACTGAGAAGACAACATAGAAAGTCCTGGAAAAACAAATCAAATTCAAAATAGGAAGATTAGGACAGGGACTCCTATGTAAACTTACTTTTAAAATCAGTATTTAAAACATACATACATGTGCATACAAATACTTTAGTTAGGTGTGCTGTGTTCACTTGTAGCCTGTAGTACTGAGGCTGAGGCAAAGAGGTTACAGAATTCAAAGCCAGGCTGAGGTAGGTATTGAGACCATGCCATAAGCCAATGACATCTTTTCTATTCCTCAAAAAGAAACCTTGTGAGGCTGGAGAGATGGCTCAGCAGTTAAGAACATGTGCTTGCAGAGGAACAAGTTCAATTCCCAGCACCCAGATGGTGGATAACACAGGGCACACTCACATGTAGGGAAAACATTCATACACATAAGGTAAATCTAAAAGAATAAATAAATGAATGTGTTTTTAATTGAAAAAAAAAAAAACCCTTGGGTGGCACAAGTCATAACTCAATAATGAATGCTTTTGGGTTTTTGTGGTTTTGGTTTTTTTGGGGGGTGGGTGTTCGAGATAGGGTTTCTCTGTGGCTTTGAAGGCTGTCGTGGAACTAGCTCTTGTAGACCAGGCTGATCTCAAACTCACAGAAATCTGCATGTCTTTGCCTACTGAGTGCTGGGACTAAAGGCCTGCACTACCAACTATCAGACTGAGCGCTTTTGTAGCATAAGGGAAGCCCTGGGTTCAAACCATAGAATGGTTAAAAACAAGTAAATAACTAAAAAAGTAAAAGTAAAATCCTGCATCCATTAAAAAAACATTTTAGCAGATTTTAGGGGCATTAAGCCTATAATCCTAGCACCTGAGAGGCAGAAGCAGGAGGATCACCACAAATTTAAGTCAACCTGGTCTACATGGTAAATTCCAGGCCAACTAGGGTTCCATAGTGGGAGCCATTTGAGAAACAAGACACCGTTCTCTTGCACCAAGAAGGTTGCACAGGCCTGTTATCCCAGTATTAGGAAGCAGGGACTTTAGGACTACTATTAAATCTGAGGCCAACCTGAGCTACACAATGAGGTGAGGTCAGCCTGAGCTACAAAGTGAGACAAGTCTCAAAATAAAAGTTTTTTCTCTATTCTCCCTTTCCTGCATGTCCTAAAAAACCATATTTTTGTTGTTGTTGTTTGTTTTTTAGTGTGGGGTTGATCTATGCAGCCCTGGCTAGCCTGTAACTTGCTGTGTAGAACAGGCTGACCTCAAACTCACAGAGATAAGCCTGGCTCTCCTAGGATTAAAGGTACGAATCACCACTACCACACATGGCTCTCATTACAACCCTGAGCAGGTTAGGTTGCCAGGTTAGTTCATCAAATGCCCTGCTCTCTGTGCTATCTTGCCAGCCCATCATTTTGACTATTACTATGATTCTTTTTACTCTCATTAATTCACATTAATGGTACACAAAGTTAAAGTCTGACTGGTTGTACACAGAATGATTTTCATAATACAATTAATGTATTTAAGTGGGTACTACAGATTAAGTAAGTGTCCTGCCACAATTCCCATGTTGAAATCCTGAGTCTAGTATCTGAGACTCTGACATTACTTGGAAATAAGGTCATAACAGGTATAACCAGTTAAGAGGGTGCTGGATGTCATGTGGGTGGTAGGAACTGAATCTGGAGGTCCCTAAAAGAATATTGGAAGCCGGGCGTTGGTGGCGCACGCCTTTAATCCCAGCACTCGGGAGGCAGAGGCAGGCGGATCTCTGTGAGTTCAAGACCAGCCTGGTCTACAAGAGCTAGTTCTAGAAACCCTGTCTCAAAAAACCAAAAAAAAAAAAAAAAAAAAAAAAAATCTTTTCCCTCCTCATTGCAGGACTGACTCTGAAATCCTGACCTGCAATGCCTTTGCTTACTTTAGAGTCTTGTTTTAAAAAAACATCCAGATAACCACTGAGGTATCCCTCTAGGCCCTACAATGGTTTTAGTTGGTTAGCTGGTTAGTTGTATTATGATAGGATCTGTCTGTGTAAGTCAGCCTGGCCTTGAAATCCCAATTCTCCTGCTTCAGCCCTTTAATTACTGGATTGTTTTTGAGAAGAAGTTGCTTGTCTCACTGTATAGTCCTCTCCAACTTTCTACGTAGAGCAGACTGGCCTTGAACTCTGCCTCCCCGTGCTGGGACCAAAGACATGCAACACTAAGGTCCTGGTTTTGATCCTGCTTTGATTTAAATACAAAATAGAGGCCAGTAGTGTGATCGCACGTGTGCAAGTTTGTACATATATACACACATAGAATAGATAATAATTATATCTTTTGGGGTTTTTTTTTGAGTCAGGGTTTCTCTGTGTAGCCTTGGCTATTCTGGAACTTGTTCTGTAGACCAGGCTGACCTTTAGTTCAGAGATGGCTTGCCCCTGCCACTGCTTCCTGAGTGCTTGGATTAAAGGTATTCCACCCGGCTGGAATTTGGGTTTTATTTATTAAAACAAATGTCTTGCTATATAGCCCAAATTAGTGTCTTTTCTTTTTTTAATTAATTAATTAATTAATTAATTAATTAATTATGTATACAGTGTTCTGTATGCATGTAGCCTTGAAGGCCAGAAGAGGGCACCAGATCTCAGTACAGGTGGTTGTGAGCCACCATGTAGTTGCTGGAAATTGAACTCAGGACAATCTGTAAGAGTAGTCAGTGCTCTTAACCTCTGAGCCATCTCTCTAGCCCCCCAGATTAGTTTCAAACTCAATCATCACCAGAGTTTCCCAAATCCCAAGTGCTAGGAATAAAGGCATTGTGCCATGGTGTCCGGCTTGTAGTCATTTTTATATTCATCTTCTGTTGAAGTCAATGGTTTATTTGTTTTAATTCTATTGAGTCCTTTTCAAGTTGCTATAATAGTTTTTGGAGTGATTATCCCATTACTACTTACTTGCCAAGTCCTGAGTTCTGAATTCTGAGCTGAATATAAAAGCACCTAAGGCCATGAAAATATTCATCCTGTGTGTTCCTGAAAATAAAAAGAATACAATGATAAGTGTCTTAGCTTCTTTTTTTTTTTTTAATAAAGATTTTATTTATTTATTTATTATGTCTTCTGCCTGCATGCCAGCAGAGGGCACCAGATCTCATTCAAGGTGGTTGTGGGCCACCATGTGGTCTGGAATTGAACTCAGGACCTCTTAGAAGAACAGTCAGTGTTCTTAACCACTGAGCCATCTCTCCAGCCCATCTTAGCTTCTTTTTATTGCTGTGATATGACCAATGCAATTCAGAATCATTTAATTGGGCTTGCAGTTTCAGAGTGTTAGAACTCATGATGGCAGAGTAGAAGCAGGGTGGCAGGAACAGGTGAGCTCACGTCTCTAGTATCAAGCAGGAGGCAGAGAGACCTGACAAGAATAACTCTGGGTCTTCTGACCCCTCAAAGCCTGACCCTAGTGTGATACACACCTCCAACAAGGCCAGTCTTCCTAGTCCTTCCCAAACAATTCCACCAACTTGGGACCAAGTATTCAAACATGAGTCAATGAGGTTATTCTCATTCAAACCACCATACATATCCTTTACTAATACTACAATTATTACTATGCAAAGATGTCCAACCTAACCATTCTAAGAAAAATGCACTCATAAGTATTCTAAAAGACCAACCAAAATCACTTTCTGTCTACTTTTTAAAAACATCAACATTTTAGGCGTAGTTCTGAAGCTTTTATGCAACATTGTCCTTTAGAATTTATGTTTACTGTGGAGTCTTTCTGGAGGGGAAAAAAGTGTAACTTCATAAAACTTCCAGTAGAGTATAGTGGGCTAGTTAAGACTTTTGCCTTTAGTGCAAATACACATACACTTTCCGTTCTAAGACGGGGAAGAATGTTATAGTCTCTTCCTCTGGCTCATACTTTTTTTTTTCCTTGAGGATCAGATTTAAAAAAAATTACTCCTGCCAAAGGGGAGAACTTTTTCGTCTTTTTCTAAGCAAGTGTTTCTTTCTGCTGTCAGTTTTGCTAAAGGTCTAAATTACGATACTTCCATTTGAATTCGCTTTCACCAATGTGCCAGTTTGTCCGTTTTTTTTAGACAGGATTTCTTTGTGTAGTCCTGGCTGTATTGGAACTTACTTTGTAAACCAGGGTGGTCTCAAACTCAGAGATCCAGCTGCCTCTGCCTCCCAAGTGCTGGGATCAAAGGCATATGTCACCACACCAGGCTGTGCCAGTTTATTTTTGAGACAAGCGTTTGATAGATACACATTCTAGACCTGTGCACCATGTATATGCCTCACCAATCCAGAAATCAGAAACGCAGACATGCCTAGAATTTAACTGAGAGCCAATTACAAAGAAATGCCTCATAAAATTAAATAAGAACCGCATATAAATATCTGACAGTACTAATTACTTTGTATTCACACCAGCAACACAAATGATATTCCAACACTATTTCCAAAACTACAGTTCTTAAAAATAAATTAGAAAAAAAATTTTTTTAAAAAGCATCGTATATCGTTTCCCTTAATTCTGGGCAAGAAACCAACAACTGTGAATTCCACTGAGACCTGTCAGCCGAAATTAATGCGCCTAAGGACATTATCAGGGAGAACAACCCTGCTTACTATGGTCATAAAAGTTTGGCGGGTGCGAGTATGAGATAAAGGTTACACGCGCCTATCGGCGATACACATTCTCGTATGAAAATACCAGGGGGTGCCTGTTACCGCCAATCTCAAGGTCAATGCGCTGGGGACACCAAACACCCAGAGCTGCAACAGGCCTCATTGTTACCTTGACTGATGACGCCTTCGCTAATAGGTCACTGTTAAAAACGATGTTAAAAACGATACGGAGATATTCTTCGAAAAATAAACGGGTGATGGACACAGCGGCTTCCAGGCGCAGCCCGCGCCAGTGCAATCGTGGAGGACTAGGGTAAAGCACACGGCGGGCGGCCAAAGCGAAGGGCACGGAGAAGGGCGTGGAGCGCCGGCGGGTGAGGGGAGGGCGCCGCCCGGCTCACCTCACTAAGTCCAGCAGAAGCACCTCGCCTCTCGAGCGAGGCCCGCCCGGGGCCCGGAGGCCGGCTGCCCGGGGCACGCCTCACTCCGCCATCTTCGCTCCTTCTCCAGTCCGCCAACCCCGGGGCGGAGGCGCGAAAGGTCCCGCCCTACCTTCGAGAGCTGATTGGACAGCGCCTTGCTCGCGCGCTCTCCTTCCGCTGCAGATAGCCTGGAAGGTACATCAATCAGGACGCTTTTTATGTTGTTGTTGCTGGAGCTGCAGACTCAGGTGAAGTTAACGAGGGAAAGGTTACTGTAATTCACTTGAGGGGAAAAAAAAAAAATCGCACCGAGGCAGCCCCACTTTTTAGTAAGACAGTGTGGCAAGGCCGAATGATAGTTTAAACTGCTGTTAAAATATAAACTAATAATTACTAATAATTTCCGTCTTGGCCTAAAGGATTTTTATCCTCGGGCTAACATTACACCCAGAGGAACAATTTCATGGTTTCAGTTCTTCTAATTTTGACCCATTTGGAATCTTAAAAGCCTGAACTTAGTCTGCTGTTTAAAGGTCAACACAGGAGCGCAGTTTTCCTCACCCCTGAGGGCCTTTCTGCTGAACTGAATGAGAAAAAATGATAAAAGGAAGTTTTGCTGTTTAGCGATAGTTCCAGGAGAGGTAGGGAAGGCAATAGCGTGACTCTTCCATACTGTGAGAATTCTCCCATGCTTGCTAAACAACAGGGTTGTCATCTAGCCCGTTTATTAAATCCAAATTCCTAGGCTGAACTCTCTTCGGTAAGGGTGCTATGCCATCCACAGACGAACATGGTCGTGTATTTCCACAGTGTCAGAATCTATTGAATAATAGTAAATTCACAAAGCTACATTGTTTCATTGGCTGCAACTTACCAAGCAGCTGGCAGGTGGCAAAGACCTTGTACAGGCTGGCCTCAAATTCACTATGTAGCAGAAGGTCATCTACCACACTGGTTACGTCTTTCATGCCAACTGAGCAACAGCGTCCTCTACCCAAACATGGGTTCTTCTTCCAGTGTTAACTATGCATCAGATCATTACATTTCACGCAGTATTGTGTATTATGTATATATGTAGACTACAGGATGCCTGCAAAGGATTACATAAACCTCTATGTTCAAAGATGTTTATTTTACTGCATCCAGACAGAGTTGGTAAAAAATGGGAAAGAGTCACTGTGGTTAGCTAGATAGTACTGAACCCAATTAGAAAGCCACAGCATGCTGAAGCTACCTGAAGGGTCCAGGTGAGCTGCAAAGGAGGGCTATGGTGAGGTGCAGGACTGAGTAGGGACAGATGAATGTACAGACAACAGTAATTAAATGAGCAATATCCTACAATGGAGCCTGTACTAAGCTGAAGCCCAGAGAACAGGCAGAAATAGTTGTGACTCACTTAACCACGGGGTCAGATGACAGTTGCGGGGGTGGGGGAGGTGTGTGCTACCATTGGAGCAAAGTGCTGTGTTCTTCCTATTTATATGGGGTATAGGTGAGGAATGTTCAGTAACATTCAATAACCCTGCCTGGTTTTTGTGTGCGTGTATTTGCATACAAGGCAAGCACTCATCTGATCTATATCCTCAGCCCTCTATTTAATATACCCATATCCATGTTTCTTATCTATTTTTATTTTAAGCATATCTTTAAATATACAGGTACCACTGGCTTGCTTGATGCCTGAGGAGGTTAGAAAAGAGTGTCAGATACCATGGATCTGCAGTCACAGATAACTGTGAATCACCATGTCAGTGCTAAGAATCATACCTGGGTCCCTGCATGAGCAACAGGTACTCTCTAACTGCTGAGCCATCTCTCCAACACATACTTTAAACCTTCAGCAATCCTGCCACCTCTACATCTGAATCCCATCTTATTTGGTTAAGTTTTTTTTACTTTTCCTGAAAATTTTTACTTTTAAAAATTGGGTCTGGGCCGATTGGTGGCAGCACTCGCCTTTAATTCCAGCACTCAGGAGGCAGAGGAAGGTGGATCTCTGTGAGTTTGACGGCAGCCTGGTCTACAGAGTAAGTTCAAGGCCAGCCAGAGTTGTTACACAGAGAAACCCTGTCTCAAAAAAAAAAAAAAAAAAAAAAAGAATTGGGGCTGAAGAATACCCACATAATCTTTTTTTTTTAATTATTTATTTTTATATGCATTGGTGTTTTGTATGTGTGTATGCCTGAGTAAGGCTGTCAGGTCCCCTGAACAGTTGAAAGCCACCATGTGGGTCATGGGAATTGAACTCAGGGTGTCTGGAAAGAGCAGTGCTCTTAACTGCTGAGCCATCTCTCCAGCCCCTATCACTTTGTCTTAATTACTGTAACACTGCACTAGATAACTCTTTTTTCTTTCTTTCTTTTTTTAAGTATTTAGTATATACAGTGTTCTGTCTGCATATATTCCTGCAGATCAGAAGAGGGCACCAGATCTCATTACAAATGGTTGTGAGCCACCGTGTGGTTGCTGGGAATGGAACTCAGGACCTCTGGAAGAGCAGCAAGTGCTCTTAACCTCTAAGCCAACTCTCCAGCCCCTAGGTAACTCTTGAAATTGATTTCTAACCCTATCTCGAAAAAAACAAAAACAAAACAAACAAATCAAAAGAAATTGATTTCTCTAATATGGTTAACTTTGGTCTTCAACATTTTTACTATATGGTATTCAATTAACATCCAACAATTTTCTTCCAATTCAACCACGTGAATACTATTATTAATATCAATAATACTGTGCCTATACCATTGATCTGACACATATATACTTTTATTTATTCACCTTTTTTTTTTGAGACTGGATCTCATGTAGCAAAACTGACCTTGAGGGGCTAGAGAGATGGCGCAGTGGTTCAGAGTATTGTCTGTGTTTTCAGAGGATAGTTCAATTCCCAGCAGACACATGGTGGCTCACAACTATCTGTAACTACAGTTTCAAAGGATGTAACACCCTCTTCTGGCCACCATGGTGCACAGTTGTACATGCAGGCACCCATACACATAAAAATAAATACATTTAAAAAGATGATCTTGAAGTTCTGATTCTTCTGTCTCTACGTCCCATGCTGGAATTACAGATTTGTGCTACCAAGCCTGGTTTTGTACAGTGCTAAAAAGGGAACCCAGAACTTTGTGCATGCTAAGCAAGCAGTCTACCAACCAAGCTACATCTTCAATCCTATTTACTTATATTTTAAAATTAATTTTTAGATGTGATGGGAAGAGGGAACATTTTCAACTGAATTCAGAACTGCCTCCATCAGATTGGCCCATGGACATATCTGTGGGGACATTCCCTTGATTAATGATTGGTGTGGGAGGGCCCAGCTCACTGTGTATGGTGCCACATCTGGACAGGAAGACCTGTGCTGTATGAGAAAGCAAGATTACCCAGGTGGTGGTGGCATGTGCCTTTAATACCACCACTTGGGAGGCAGAGGCAAGAGGATCTCAGTGAGTTCTAGGCCAGCCTGGTCTACACATGGAGATCCAGGACAGCCAGGACTGTTACACGGAGAAACCCTGCCTCTAAAAACGAAAGAAAGAAAAGAAAGAAGAAAGGAAGAAGGAATGAAAGATGAGCAAATTATAGGAAGAGAACCATAAGTTGATAAACCACTTCCTTAGGCAGCAAACTAGATCTGGACAATGTTTATCAACACGAGGTTAACATCCAAAGGTTTATTGTGGCAACATTGTCTGACAGTTAAAAAAGCTTTGCAGGGTTGAAGTGATGGCTCAGGGTTTATGAACACTTGTTGCTCTTGCAAAGGACCTGAGTTCTGGTCTCAACACCCACATAGTCATTCACAACTATTCATAACTCAAGTTCCAGGGGATACAACACCCTCTTCTGATGTCCATAGGCATCAAACATACACACAGTAAATATACATACATGAGCCAGGCGTTGGTGGTACATGGCTTTGCTCCCAGCACTCTGGAGGCAGAGGCAGTCAGATCTCTGTGAGATCAGCCTGATCTACAGAGCTAGTTCCAGGACAGCCTCCAAAGCCAGAGAGAAACCCTGTCTCAAAAAACAAAACAAACAAAAATATACATACATGTAGGAAAACATACATATAAAATAGCATGTATAGCTGGGCTTTGGGACATGTGCAGTTACACACACACATAAATCAATCAATTCACACACACATAAATCAATCAATCAGTCAATCAATCAATCAATCAAGCCACCAAACTGTGGTGGCTCATGATTTTAATCCCAGCACTCGGGAGACAGAGAGGCAGGCAGATCTTTGTAAGTTTGAGGCCAGTCTGGTCCACAGCGCAAGTTCCAGGACAGCCTCCAAAACAATAGAGAAACCCTGTCTCGAAAAACAAACAAAATAGCATGTATATGTATGTATATATAAATTTAAAGAGATAAAATAAATGGGCCTTGCAATATGTAAAGTGTGGTGTGACATATTTCTTTGCCAAAACATCAGCTTATGGGTCAGTGCTCACTGAATTGCTTTCCACAGCTTCACAAACCACATGATTCCTTGTGAAATCCCTTGGAAAATATTACCAAATAGAAAGAGGACTGTCTCTAAAGTCTACGCTTGGCACTTTTGCACAGTTTGTATTTGCATCTTCCCCTTCTGTAGGGAATGGAGGAAGGTCTGAGTGAATGTGTATTTTGACATGGACCCACAGAACAATTTCGCAAAGCTGTTTTCCATGTGGAAATGTCAAAGCATTCCTGGGGAATCTGAGAACAAGTGTTGGTGGATCAGTGTGTGCAGACTAGAAACCACAGCTTTCTTCTCCCAGGTGTTTACAGCCTGAGACTGCTCTACAGAGATCTCCTAGAGACTAGCCAACGGTTCCAGGCTGCAGGGGTAGTTTGGGCCAGACCCTGATTTATCATAGCTTTACTGTCTGTGTGCATGTCTATCTGTCCTTTCTTTACTCTCTAGAAGCCCCTTGTCAGGACCCAACCCTTTTTCCTTCAGCACCTTTTTCTTCACTTCTGACTTTTTGGTGATTACAAGGATAACCAAAAGGCCCTTGATGATAGGTCAAATGATTTCACAGAACAGTTGTCTCTACCAACACAAATTACAGGCTGCTTCAGCTCCCTATCCGCCAAAGATAAAGCACATACACACTTAAAATAGCACA